CTGATAGCAGTCCATTGTAGTACTGTTACTGAAAGCAATAACAGGCCAATTCTCATTTTGCTTTTAGAAGCAAAGGTTTTGGTCATCTTTAATACTTGTTTTTAAGAGAAAATGTCCATATTTAGAAGCAAAACGATGTTAAGATCAAGACAGTTACTAGAGAAGAGGGCTCTGCTTAGTACAGCATCCATTCCCAAGATTTCTTGTTTACAGATAAAAAACTTCTAGGTTTCACTGCCTAGCACTGATTCATTAAGTCTTCTGCATCAACATTTACCCTTGTGCTTTTAAGTTTAGTTTCATGGGGACATCACCTGGTACAGTCACTTCCTGCTACCAGAAAGGCACTGGCTACATGCAAGAGCTCCGGGCACTCACACCAGTCAACAAGGGAAGGAGTGAGGGAGGTGGAGGCAGAAACACAGAAACGGGTACCAACAGCACATCCAGGTTTTAGCCTGCTTTAGGAAACAAGGCTAATACCACTGATTCCCCTACCATCATCCTTTCCCTCCCCCACAAAATAGCTATTGAATCTGTTGGCCTATTTCAATCAGATTAGGAACAGGGCAAGAAGCCTAGGAAGCCTGACAACAACGCTCAAAGGACTCAGGAAGCTGCTGGAGGGAAATGTAGTGAAAACTGACTCTTCGTGGCTAGCTGGCTGCTGTAAGTGGCTGTCCAGACACACTGCTTCAGAGGAACATTGCTCCTTTTGCATAAGCTGCTAGAGGCCAGGGCTGAGTCTCTCATGTGATCTCTAAGACAGCATACTGTAGAAAACACAATTCTCTACCCATGCTTGTCTTAAGTATTTTCTATGTATTGCCACTGGGGAAAGAACCAACATGACACTTGGGCCCATGCAGCCACGGGCAGCCATTGCTAAGCTTGAGCTGTCATAGTGGGCAGATCAGGCAAGAAGGACAAGCCCAGGAAGAAACCATAATCAGTTTCACTGACAAGTCAAGTGTATGTAGTTAATGTGACAGCATCTATCCCACCAGCACATGAAAACCCACATATTTCTACAAGATGTTGTACTCTAATGTTATCAGAGGAAACAATCATCAGCCACTCCCACCCATGACAAAATGGCCTTTTCATTAGTTTTCACAAGGAAAGCCAAAGCTTCCTGTGACCAAGAGAAAAAGTTGACTAACCTTTATCCTTATTCCTAGATGTCAGATATTTGGATGCCCTGGGTAAGCATCAGACCTTCTTTCTAATGGGATCTTTGTAAGAGGAGACTTAAGTGGACATAATTTCAAGACCTTTAGCAGGGACATCTCAGATGGACTTGCATATAAATCCATTTTCAACGTACATTTTCCTTACAACTCCCACTAAAAAGTTTGCCTACCAATAAGGCCAGTGTGCAAAACTACCACCAAGGCAGTTTTCTTTTTGCTGCTACACCAGGAAAGGCATTTGTGCTTTCACCTTCCTCCCCAAAGCAACAGCAGCAACAGGTGAACGTGTCAAAGCCACTACTAAAAAATGAAACAAGCCACCTTAAGGCAAGAAGCAGCCAGGCACACCAACACATACAGATATGCCTTGACTGATTACTGACAAATCAGGTAACAGATAAGATGGGGGGGTGGGATTAAAAAAAAACAAATTTCCTAGCTATACCTCCAATTTCTGTTTTGCTAGAAAACTAATCTCAAAAAAAAATTCCTTTGCCTGGCTCCTCCACCTGCTGCATTAAGACCTCAGCCTGTCCCTTCAGAAGTGAAGATGCCACCTTTCTTTTAGTTAACTTCAGGACCTCGCACCAGTGGCCAGCCTCACCTTTGCTGTTACCAGCCCCTGAAAAGTTACAGATATAAACAACAGACCCCTATTTCCACTGCAAATCAAGCCTTGTCCTATCCAACAGGTTGATCCTGTTTAATTACGGGAGGGCGAGCAAAAAAAAAACTAAAAAAATAAACCGACAGTCGCTACACGCTGGGGTTTCTGCTCGCCTTCTTTATGTATAAAGCACAGAATAAATAATAATAACCTTATAAAAAGCGTGTCAACCTGGCTGCATTTCACTCG